TTCGCTTCGTATTCGCTTCGGGGCCGAATAGTGGACCTATTGACTATTCGGTATTCGGCCGAATAGTTGCGGTCGGGCCGAATTCGAATAGTAGTTACCTTACACCAGTTTCTGCATACACGGCCTCAATGCTGAAAACATGGAACGATTGGTTTTGTTGCAAGCTAATGCAGCTTTCATGCATTAACTAAGCTGTCAGTGACAATTTCCAAATTCAGTTACTTGTTATAATATTTAGGATTCTTTCATTTCTAGTTATTAGTTACCACAGACTGACTGAAGGATACAAAACATAAAATGTTTTTAAATGTTCACTATTCTGTACGAATACTAACTAGACATGCAAAGAATATAAACTCCGGCCACATCCAAGTCGATAAAATTAAAATCAAACGAACGGAAACATATAAGTACTTGGGTGCAAACTTCAATTGCTCCAAAATGCTGAGAGAAGAAATACAATCTAGAATACAATCTAGAAATAAAGTATACTATACCCTTCAACATCTGCTAAAGTCAAAGTGTCTGTCTCGCAACACCAAGATCAAAATATATAAAACGTTGATAAGACCAATCGTTTTTTTTTTTTTTTTTTTTGCTCTGAAACTTGAAGCAGAAATAAAATAGATAAGCCTTATTACAGGTTTTTGGAAACAGTCTTACGACAAATCTTTGGACCCATCAAAGATGCTAACAACGAGGAAATGGAGAGTGAGAAGCAACAACGTAACACATGATCTGCTTAAGTCTCCATTGATCACTTGCATCATGAGAGCTAACAGACTAAAATGGTTGGGGCATATTGAAAGAATGTCAGATGACAGAGAAGTAAAACTGTATAAACCTGAGAGAGGAAGGGGCGTAGACCACGAGGCAGACAAAAAATAAGTTCGAGAGATAATGTCCAGCCAGACCTGCAAACAACTGGTGTCACAAATTGTGAAGAGAAGGCCAGCCATAGAGATAAATGGAGACTAGTGATATCTGCAGAAGTAAACCTCAAGGACTCTGAATGCTAAAGAAGAAGATGACTATTCTGTGCTACTTTTTATGAAGTAAAATTTCAGCGTACATTAGACATTATGAATGTGTGTGTGATTTTTTTAATTTTTAGATATATTTTATACACTATACACTATTCGTATTCGTATTCGGCCGAATAGTTAGTCCCGTTATTCGTATTCGGCCGAATAGTGAAAATCACTATTCTGTACAGCCCTACAAATTATATTGTGGGAACAACCAAAACAAAAACAGACATTACTGTCTGTATTTACTTGACTACTGACATTGTGGGAACAACTAAAACAAAAACGGACATTACTGTCTATATTTACCAATTCTGGCGGTGGGAGGGATGCGTGGAAAATGAGGAGAGGGAGTGGGGGTGGGGTGGGTTTGAGCAGAGCCCGAAAATTGAGAACCACAAGGCAAGCGTTGCAGCCACGGACTGTGCAAGTAAGGATTTGTTGTTTTGTGTGAGCCCCAAACATGAACATTTTGAAAAAAATATACAGTATTACCGATCATTCGAGCCTTGATCTCCTGCGCTCGAAGCTAAAGTTTCCATTCGTTCACTCAGTTGCAATTGTAGGGACAACACTTTGTGTTAAATATATGAAGACAGAGGCGATTCCAGGTTTTTACACAATGTTAGAATACAACACAGCATCAGTTACCAATAGGGTGCTACATCTAAGGGAAAGCACAGGGCATCAGAATTGAGCTAAAGAAGAATGTGGATTGAACACATACAAGACAATCACTGGAAAATACCCAGTGACACGCACCAAGAGCTTGACGGCAAACTATTTCTTTCAGGCGGTGGGAAAAGAAAACTGGGAAATGACGATGATCATGACGATAATAATAATGATGCGGATGATAATGACGATGATGCAAATGATGTCGATGATGATAATGCGAATAAGGATAATTGATTATTCGAATAATGATGATGGTGGTAGTGATGAAAATGATGCGAATGAGCATGATGATTCGAATGATTATCATGATGATGGTGGTAATGATATTGCGAATGAGGATGATGATGATGCGAATGACAATTATGATGATTTGAATGATGATGATTCGAAGGGCGATGATGATGGTGATGTTAACGACAACTTTAACTGACTGATCGTATTTTCTTATCTGGGCAGAGTCTGTGCATTCTAAAACTTTAGCATAATCATAAAGCGTGTCCTGCGCAGGCGGTTGCTCTCATTCCATCCCACTGGAGACGTTCTTGTTCATTCGTCAGTTCCCCTGCCTCATACATATTCATACCACTTGAGCTTGTAATGTCGTTGGTTCTCAGCCGTTCCGGACTTTCCGAACTGCAAACCCTAACTCCATTTTTTTTTCCCACCCAGAAACTGACTTTTAACTGCTCTTTCAAAGCCATTATAACGCTTGCAGTGGCTCTAGTAGATTAGTTTCCGGGACAGGATACTGTTTATGAGCCAATTTTCTTCGACATTTAAATCATATTGACCGA